AAAAAAAAAAAAACACAAGTTGGGATGGAAACACAATTCAACGTTTCCCCTTCTTAAGATCCTTAAAGTGCCCGGCTATGAAAAGCACAAAGAACGTTCTCCAAATAGCACTTTAGTTACAACCAAATGATCATCTTGACATGTGCATTACATACATAGTATTTCCATGTCTTTTCAGCCATACCCACAGAGATCTGAATGTCATAATCATGAAAAACAGTAACTTCCTCAGAAAGACAGCTTATAAAATCATTAATATTCAATACTTACACATCTTTGGCTGCTCCTGCAGGGCCTAGAGAAAAAAGAAGAGAGGTTTGTATTGGTGTGATAGTATTGCTACAAAAATGTTATCTAATACCTAACCAAAATACAGTAATATTCCTGAAGAGACAAGAAAATGGGTTTAAAATTTTTTTCAAAAACAGAGAAAGGAGGGCAGAAAATCATAAAACTCAAATCTTTTTTTTGTTTTTCCAGACACAGTCTCACTTTATTGCCCAGGCTAGAGTACAGTGATGCAATCTCAGCTCACTGCAACCTCTGCCTCCTGGGCTCAAGTGATCCTCGCACCTCAGCCTCCTGGGTAGCTCGGAATACAGATGCATACCACCATGCCTGGTTAATTTTTGTATTTTTTCTTGAGATAGGGTTTCACTATGTTGCCCAGGCTGCTCTCCAACTCCTGGGCTCAAGCAATCCTCCCACCTTGATTGCCCAAAGTGCTAGGATTACAGGCATGAGCCACTGCACCCGGCCTCAAATTCCAATCTTAAATCTCAAATTTAGTTTAAGTTTCAAATCTTAGCTTTGGAATCTATTCCACCCATCTCTAAGAATTCCTGCAAATTACATGGTGCCAGTTCTCAAAAAGATTTTACAGATCATGTTAACCCAACTTCCCATTTTATGAATTTCAAAACTGGTAGACTTCGAGAAATATTTTTTTTTCTAAGCCACACACCTTCTACGTTGATGTCTGCATGGCATGGTTAAGTCAAACTGCACCAATGCAAGCAATGAGCTAAATGAATTAGGAAGCCTCAAAGACACGAGCTTAGTTCCAAAAAGAGTCACATGTGTCTCTTCAGTCTGCTCCCATTGGCTTCCCACCTGTGATGGTTAATACTGAGTGTCTACTTGATTGAACTGAAGAATGCAAAGTATTGTTCCTGGGTGTGTCTGTGAGGGTGTTGCCAAAAAAGATTAACATTTGAGTTAGTGGACTAGGAGAGGCAGACCCACTGTTAATCTGGGTGGGCACCATCTAATCAGCTGCCAGCACAGCTAGAATAAAGCAGGCAGGAGAAGGTGCAAAGAGCAGACTTGCTGAGTCTTATGGCCTTCATCTGTTTCCCATGCTGGATGCCTCCTGCTCTTGAACATCGGACTCCATGTCCTTCAGCTTTTGGACTCTTGGACTTAGACCAGTAGTTTGCCAGGGGCTCATGGGCCTTCAGCTATAGACTGAAGACTGCACTGGTGGCTTCCCTACTTTTGAGGTTCTGGGACTCAGACTGGCTTCCTTGCTCCTCAGCTTGCGGACGGCCTATTGTGGAACTTCACCTAATGATCATGTGAGTCAATACTCCTTAATAAACTCTCCTGCGTGTATATATATATCTATCTGTCCTATTAGTTCTGTCCCTCTGGAGAACCCTAATACACCACCCATGTGAAAAAGACAGCCCATCTCTTCCGGTGCCCATCCCCATTACTTCTCACAGATTCTCTGCCCACATTTCCTCCTCTCAATATCTTTATCCGGGAGGCACAGTACTGGGTTCCAACTCTTACAAGATATACGGTATTTAACATCCTTTAACCTCTTAAAACCTCACTTCCCTTATGTCAAATGAGGGTAAGAGAGTATCTTTCTCAAAGGTTATTGTGAAGATTTAAAAAGACAATGTGTAAAAAGACAATGTAAACACTTAACACAAAGCTGGCACATAAAAATAGCACACTAAGTTATTAGACGTCACACTTAATATTTCAATTTTGATATATATTAAATAGAAATTAAAATAATTCCTGCACAGTCACAGAGGTATAAGAATAAAGGAAGATGCGCTACAAAGTAAAGTAAGCAAATAAGTCTGTGGGGGAATTATTGCCAAATTGCAAAAACAATCCAACAGTGATATTCATTTTGCATCTGTAATACTGCAAATTAAAAGCTGATCCTAAAGATAATTGAGGCTATGTCTCAAACAAATTCTTTCAAGGCTTTGACTAAACCTAAACTTTGCAATAAATTCAGTTCCTTTCTTCAGGGAAAAACATTTCTGTGGCACCATTACTGTTAAAATTATATAAACTGCTTTAGAATCAGAGATTATTAAACCAAAAAATCCTAAACTTAAAAAAAAAGTCTTAACATAGGAAAAACTGCCAACATAGTGTTTTTGATAGAAAAAAAAATAAACAAAAGATTAGTGCCACCATAAACCCATGAAAATGAATGTTTTATTTTAGAGTCAAGCATGAGAATCTATAAGAAAATCTATGTAAATCAAAAAATATTGAGATAGGTCTCAATCAATTCAGTTTATTTTGCCAAGGTTTAGGAAAGCCTGTGACACAGCCTCAGAAGGTCTGGAGAACATGTGCCGAAGGTGCTCAGGCTACAGCTTGGTTTCATATGTTGTGGGGAGACACAAGACGCCAATCGATACCTAGACCATGTACACTGGTTTGGTCCAGGACAACTCAAAGGTGGTGGGGGCATGGGGGGAGGGTTGTTTCGGGGTCACAGGTGGATTCCAAGATTTCCTGGCTGGCAACTGGTTGCAAGAGTTTATTTAAAGATCTGGAATCAATTGATTCCTGGAATTGTGTGAATTTAGAGATTGTGGAGATCAAGGTTTTATTTTGCCAATGAAGCTCCTTTAAATGTTTCTTATCAGACTTAAAAAGGTGCCAGGCTGGCACCATATGAAGCTCCTTTAAATGTTTCTTATCAGACTTAAAAAGGTGCCGGGCCAGCACCGTGGCTCATGCCTGTAATTCCAGCACTTTGGGAGGCTGAGGTAGGCGGATCACCTGAGGTCAGGAGTTCAAGACCAGCCTGGCCAACATGGTGAAACCCTGTCTCTACTAAAAAGAAAATACAAAAATTACCTAGGCATGGTGGTGGGCACCTATAATCCCAGCTACTTGGGAGGCTGAGGCAGGAGAATTGCTTGAACCCGGAAGGCAAAGGTTGCATTGAGTTGAGATTGCACCACTGCACTCCAGCCTGGGCAACAGAGCAAGTCTCTGTCTCAAAACAAAAACAAAACAAAACCAAAAAACAAAAAAACAAAAAAAAACTGCCAGACACTAATTCTCTCCTAGATCAGGAAAAAGACCTGGAAAGGAAAGAGAATTTCTCTACAGAATATAGATTTTCCTCTCAAGTGACAACTTTGCTTAGCCATTTCAAAATACGTCAAAGAAATATATTTTGGGGTAAAATACTTTGATTTCTTTTTTTTTTTTTTTT